TGAAAATGTCCTTGACAGTGTTGAGTGGTCATGTACTGTACATGCAGCATTATAAAGTGATAATAAATAATTATTCCTTTTCTTTTATGGCCTAAAATTATTTGTAGTTTCAGTAGTTAATTACACAGAAAATAGCACAAAAAAGCAATTTAACTACTATGCAAGTATGAATGTAGTTAAACTACCAGCAAACGTTTTGCAAAATGTAGTTAAACTACTAGTTTAATTACATGTAGTTCACTACTCCCCAACACTGCACGAAGACTGGAGGCAGTGGAAAACAGCTAGCCTGGCTCTATCCAAAGGTAACAAACCAAGCAGTAGAGACTCCAGGATGAACAGAATTTTGTGTGCTTGAAAAATCTGATTTGGAAAAACTCAAAAATAATAGAGTGGCCATGCTGACCCCTGTTCACTGCTGAAAGCACCTGTGGGCACATTTAGCACCAGAACTGGACCGTGGAATGATGGAAGAAGGTGGCCTGGTCTGATGAATCACTTTTTTTTTTTGACATCACCTGGGCGGCCGGGCGTGGGTGTGTTGTTTACCCGTGAAAGAGATGGCACCTGGAAAACTGAAACTTTGCTTTAATAAGGACATCTAATGTACTGAAATTCACACTCATGCAAACAACTGTACAAGTCCCTCATCAGCACTTATGAACCCACAGTCAGCAGCACACATCAGCAAGGGCAGTGGCAAGATCACTGCAAGGGCTTATGATGAGCTGATGGATTTACTGGTAAAACTCTTAACACTCTGGTGAGTCCAGGGTTGGATTTCTCTAATGCATTAAGTTCATCCTTTCATCCTTTCCCTCTCTTAAACTGTGAAGTTCAGAACATCCAGTGTACTGTATATGGCCAGACCAGCATGCTGTGCCTGTCGGTTTTTTATTCACATGCCTTAAATAGTATGACTGAGGTCAAAGTGAGTAAACACACTGACATAATGAATGTAACGGTATTGTTTTGACTATCAGTCACTAAGTGCCCTTTGCAGATCGGATTCTGGAGATAGCTGCAGCCGGAGGCATTGTGTTCTCAGGTTGTCTGTCCCTACATACATCTGTATGTGTGAAGATGATATGTCAGTAACACTTTGAGGGAATATCTTCACATTTGCCAAAAGTGTCCATTTGCACTCAAGGGTGAACCGGTTAGCTTTTGTTGGTCAAAGGTTAAGGTCAGTGACCTCACTTCTGTCTGTCAGTGGAGAGGTACAACCGCAAAGATGAGATGAACTACACGTTAATGTGCCCTTGTCCCTGCTTTCATTTCACAATTTTTTTTTTTTTTTAGCAGAATTTGATAATTTATGACATTTGGTTTTTAGAATGACAGATTGAAGGACCAATGATCAAATCATTAATTATTGAAATGGATCATCCTTAGATCAGAATTAATGCTTTAACTCCAAATTGGCAGACTGGTAGGTTTCATAAGGGATAGTACATCTCTGTTTGACCAGAACCATGCATGTACGTGTAAGTGTGAGCGCGCGGGGGTGTGCACGCGCGTGTGTGTGTGTGTGTGTGAGAGGCCTTGAGTCTGTTCGTTTTAAAGGCTAGTTGTTGAATGTCCATTATATAACCAGCTCTTCATTCCTCCCACGTAGCTCCATTAATAAATAAACTCAGGAAAGGACTCAAGTATGACAAAGTATTACAAGTATGGTAAAATATCATGGGGGGAATGGACATATGGTAACCAGGATGGAAGTGCAGGTAGTGCAGAAAGTAATGCACACAGAGGACACAAAAACATGACATGACAATGGTATGAAATGATATTGAGGGAAGAAGATGTTAAAAGAATAGACACTGAATGCAAATGCAAAAGAAGAGGAGAGGTTGTCAAGCTCAGAGGCAGAGCAAAGCCATTCCCCCACTACTCATGGTACTAGACAGCAGAGAAAATTAATGAGATTGTGTAGATGTACTCCAGACCTCAGGTAGTTCTAATTGTTTAATCCATTTTGTTTCCATTTAGTCAGACAATGGCTGTAAACCATTAGAGTAGAATCATTATTTAATTGAATTTGATAGTGATATAACTTGATTAGCCAAAGGTATCTTGTTTTTTCTCTAGATTGAGCTCTTTATATTAAGTCAGGGTAAAATGTAGTCTAACAGTAATGAAAATATAGATCGAGTGACATCACTGCCCAACATATGTGGACATCGACATGCTACTCAGGTTAAAAAGAATACATTCTTCCCTTGAAAGAACATGTGATGATACTCAGCATGTGAAACAGCAGCACTGGTTCAAACGAAACCTGCAACTAAATGGAAACCTCATCTATGTGTTGCTTCTCTTCCTGTGGCGCTCTGTGTGGCTTGTCTTTTTTTTTTTTCTTTTTTCTTTTTTTCCGCATAGTGGGGTTACAGGTGTGGTTCTGCCTCAGCAGGCTTGGGACTTTACAGTGAAAGCCCTGGTGTGAAGATGAAAGTCTGTTTTAGTTTGAAGCTACACTTCTCATGATGTTTGGGCCAGATGACAGCATCTGTCTGTGTGACTTAGAGATCAACATTCATGAGGAACAACCTGGTTCTGTGCAAAAGAGGAGCCAGAGCAGAGTGGACAGACAATAGCTCAGTCAGAGAGAGTGATGGACAGAGGAAGATAAAGGGAGTCTGGGGTTTGTTGTATTTAAAGGCTCTGTGAAGGGGCACAATGAAGAGGAAGATCAGACCCACCCCCACCACACACACTTAAATTTATGTATAGATGGTCAAACAGAAGCAACATTAAAACTAATTATCAGCTGAATTGAAATTACTCTGATTCACACTGTATTGTATCATTGCAAATTTAGCTGGATCATTTTTGTATCAAATCGTGGGCCATGTATCAAGATACTAGTTGAATTGCATGAACGGGAGAGATACACAACCCTAATTTCCAGTAAATAAAACAAAGCAATGGACTAAGACAAGGACCATTTTTAGCCCCAGAGAGAGCAGAGCTCAGTCACAAAAGAAACATCTCAGACTCACACAATCACTAGCTAGACCTAATAAAACCAAAATTTTTGGAAGAGTGCAAAGTCCATCAGTCTGTGGAATTTTGGAACTTAGGCTGTGAAATAAGGTTAATCTCATGTCTCTTATAAGATTTTTTCTATGTACTCGGTCCACCCAGAAGTCATTCTGGTCGACAGAAGCCGTAGGATGTTCCAGGTCTCTTATATTGTCTCTGAGGACCAAGGAGCAAGAATGAAGGGCACTGCTGGAGGAGCCATGACTGAGGATACATGAGGCTTCACATGAAGGTTCTGAGGAAAGGACATCTCATATCGTTAATATGTTTCCTTGAGTCCTTTCTCCTCAAGTGAGGGAAATGACGATCCTTATGAGAGACTTGAGATGTACCTATAATGTATCTGATGACATTTAGAATTCACTGACACATCTCAGTCTGTTGCACCTTATATTTTACTCTCTTGCTCCAGGCTGCACAGAGCATAAAATGTTATTTACATGTACTGTAAGTAAGAGAAAATGTGAATAAGCCTCCATATTTATTATTTGTATCAGAAGACTGGTAACAGACGTTCATGCTTCATGTATACCAGATTGTTTCTATTCAAGTACAGTAAGTATAGTGGTTCAAAAGAAGAGGATGTCTTTCAGCATGCCCACGTGCACAATAGCGGGAAAAAATCCTTTTTAAACAAGTGCATTGGGTCTGTAGAGCACAACCAGCTGCTGAGTGAAGGGACAGCACTATTTTTCTCCAATATAGTTTTCAAATCTCTACATTACTGCAGTACATTGTGATGATGCTATTGACAGTGGTTCATCACTCAGGAGCAGCAATTCACCCGCAATACCAACTGGAAGTCACGTGCAACTGTTTACTGCAAAGACCTGAGGAAACCGGTTTTTGCTGAGCCCTTATCAGGATCCAGATGCTTAGCGATTGGTGTCACAGTAGAGGATGTGAAATTGCATGAAAAAGGAAGATTTCAAGGACTGAGATCACAGAGGTTTAAATAAGCTGGATATTTTATGACACACTGAGTCAATCTTGGCACTGATGTTACCTGATGAAGTTTTTGTGTTGAATAATGTTTGTGTTTCTTTTACATTTTAGTATTTTTTTAGCTAGTAACAGTTACTGAATGTTCATTTCTTTGGGCTTTGTAATGCAGTTAGTGATGTTCTTTAATAAAATAATTGTTGTTTTTGGAGATTGTTAGGAATGTAAATGACTGTGATATTAGGGCCAAGAAAATGTGTGGCATTTTTACAACTTGCCTGAAAAGCAAGTTTCGGTGTGAGTGTTAGTAGTACAGATTTGATTTTGTTACAAAATTTATGAGGTTAGAGGGAGAGAACATAAACACACATACACAGGTGTGTGTGTGTGTGTGTGTTCAGGCTTGAGAAAGAGTAGGCATTTCCTCAAAGCAGTTTTGCTTTTCACTGGATTGCTGCATACTTGTTATTGTGTACCTTTAGCTCCAGACTCATCATTTGTCTAAATCCCACATTTTCAACAACACTGTGGGCATGTGTCCTTGCAAATGAAATAACTTGGAGCTCCAGCTGTTGACTTCAACCAGGTGGCGTTTTCAACTAATGCATTATGATACTAGCTGCTTACACTAGCACAGACACTTGCAGTTGCACTTGCACTTGCAGTTGACTGCTACCACAACCAACTGAAATTTGACCTACATTTTTACCTCTGATTTGAAATCCTCGTTGTATCCTGGCCAGTAGAATTTGAAATACATCCAGACTTTGGCCTCAGGTTAGCTGGTGTGTTTAACATACGTAGCAGCCTCTGACATGTTCTTACCTTGTGGAAAAGGACCCAGGACTCAGATCACAATTTTAATTTTATTTTTTAAAAACAAAACCTAGGTTCAAATCTGTGGGATTGAAATGATGCAGCCTTATCTATGATTTTCTGATAGGTGTCTAGAAATGTATAGAGTAGAGTGCATGTTGTCACCCACTAATACACCCTACTAATTTCTATTACAGAGAAGCTGATAGCATACCAGCGGGAGTTCCATGCCTTGAAAGAGCGCCTTCGTGTGGCAGAGCATAGGACGCTGCAGCGCTCGTCTGAGCTCAACAATATTCTTGAGCAGTTCAGACATGCCATTGCCGAGACTAACAACAGCAAAGATGCCCTCACAAACTTCTCAGGTAACTGACACATACAAGCACATACAAGACTCATTAACTGCAGTGTAAAGTAAACATCCAAGTTTAATTTTTTCAGTCATTTGTGCACAAAAGGTGCAGTGTTGTCTCTATAATTTGTAATGTTGTGCTTGTCATGTAATATGTAATTGAGCATCGCCTCTTGCTTTGGCTTTGTGTCGTCACACGGGCCACGGAAAAGTAGCCCGCCTCCAAAACAATCCACCACTACTACTATTTTATGGTTTAATATGGCAGATTGTGATTTGGTTTTGTTATACATCATGCACACAGAAATGGAGAATAAAAATGGACTGTGTTCAATTACTGGCTGCAGAAGTCTTCCACAGTCAAGAACACTGCAGTACAGTGTGAACTTGTGCACCATGCAGTGTGCTGTAAGTCACAAGCATGGACAGGGTTCTGTAGCCAGTGAGTATTAAGGTTCTCAGAAACAACTCGCTCTTCCTGTCGGTAACCCAGTGCATACAAATGGTTTATTCAAATGTTCTGTAGCTATAGCATCACTGTTCTACTTGAGCACTTGAGTGTTAACAAGTGGGGCTTGACAAGTCAGCGTAATGTCACTCCTGTCATCATTTGATGAAAGTAAGAAGTGGACCCTACTTAACCTGTTGTGCTGTGGCTGCTTACAGATGAGACACAGAAACTATTGAAGGAGCTTGCAAATAGGAAACCTCTCCAGGTGCCAGATATTTACCATCACCTGCCTCATCTACTCAACAATGAGGGCAGCCTGCACCCTGCTGTGCAGGTTGGTCTCGGCCGTACGGGAGGTGAGCAGCCTACTGCATATGCACACTGAAAATGTATGATTGAGGGTTTTTCCCCCCCCCCAGAATATGCATGCTCATCCTACACAAACGCAGTAACTGCTCAAGAGATCCTCATTACACCAGGAAGAGAATCAGATCTCAGCCAGGTCACAACAAGTATTTTCTCTGGACTGAGCTTTGTGATAGTGTCTTCCTGAAGAACATTAGTATCATTCTGTATTTACTTTGCAAGTTAGTATGTATCCTAGCTCTTAATTTGATTGAACATGGATTTCCTTCTTGTCTTCATCTCTCTATCCTACTCTGAGATGTTCTTGTCCTTTATGTGTTCAGGTTCTTTTCTCCATAGTTTTCTTCCTTCTTTTTTTAAAGTGCTTTTTCAATAAGGTTTGCCTTTGGAACATAAACTGAAGATCATATTATGAAATATTTAGGCACAGGTCACAATAAATCCAGCAGCCTCATTTGTGTTTCTATAATTTCCTGCCTTTCACCCCTCCAGCAACATTATGCATGTAACTGCTGCTAGAGTTCTCTCTAAGAGGCTTGCTTATCTGGCATTTTAAGTGTGATAGGTAGTGACTTATGGATGTGAAGGTGATGAAATTAGAGTCTGAACAGCTCAAATGGTGCTTCCATATTTCTTATGACAGTGACTGAGGGGAGAAACAGGGGCCGTAGACAAAATGGAGGAAAAGAAGGTGGGCTGAAGTCAAGAACAGTGAGGAGTTCCCAGTCTTCTTGGAGAGTGGAATGCTCTAGCCTCTGATGATACAGAATTTGTTGCTGCCCACTGTTTGGTATAGCCTTTCTACCACTTGTGCAGACCATGTGCCATACCTGATCGACCCCTGGCACTGTGACTGTGACTTTACTCTCCCTTTTTCTGTGACTAGTTTTTCTTAGTCCACTTCTGTGTGTTTAATTTTCCCTTGTATTTCTCTGCTGGTCTAAGCATATCTGTCATTGGGATATTTATAGTGGTGCAAATTAGGACATGATCCCACTTCAAATTAAATAAGGAATATTGGAAGAAATAGTTCAGAGACACTCTGAGACTGAACTGGTTTGATTGGGATCTGGCTGAATCCCTTTTAGACATCACAGGTTCCAAACACATGTATGGCCTTTACCAAGTCATCCAGTTTCCAACTTGTGCCCTTTTGGACATTCTCTACTTTTTGTTGCCAAGCAGTCAGTTATATACTAGCTTTTGTTCTTGTACACTGGCCAGCTATTAAGCAGGCGGCATAGTGGATGTGTTTTCACCCCTCCTTTTAACTGCTGTCTTTGTTGTCTAGAGGAGAGTGTAGACAGTCATGCATCTGTTTAGATCCACGTGATCCCAGCTGATTTTTTTTTTTTTTTTTTTTTTTCTCCCTTCTTTGTAAAGAACCTCACTGGAAGTGTCAAACACGTGAAGGTTCACACAATCCCCCAACTGCTTTCTAATTAAAGATGGTAGTGCAGTGACAAGAATATGTTCCCTGAATTACTTCATACTTTCATACTCACACAAAACTTCCAATTGTATTAGTTATAAGGTCGCACAGACTTTTACTTCTGCATGAAAGGTGATTATAGTTAACTGTAAATATAACATAGTCTTATATATTCACAAGTTGGTTTTCTATCTTTGCTGGTTTGGCTGTCTTACAGGCTTCTGATGTAATTGCTTGTACATTTTCAGCAGAGGGTCAAACATGAAATAGTGTAGAAACTTGTGATCATGCTGGTTATATTACTCAGTCAGTCTAAATGGCAGTTGTGATCTCAGTTCATTAATTAACACAATCTAATTTACAAGATGTCATCTGAAAATAGTTGCGTTCAGTGCTAACTCTGTAGCTTTTTAACACATTCATATACACACTCTCTAACGTTTCTTAACACATGGTAAACCTGTGCTACAGCCTTGTATATCAAACGCCAAAGCTTTGAACCAGAATTTCAAGAACAACACTGCTTTTGTTTGTGTTTTTTTTTTTTTTCTTTGTGGTGTTCTAGATCTCATTTTTCACAAGGGGCCCATTTGCATGAGTGAATGTTGTGCCTTGGTGCAGGTACATGTGCTCCCTGAGTGCTTTTGTATTAGGTTTGTTGTCTATACTTGCCCAAGTTGCAAGAATTTTGTGATGCATGTCAGGCAGAGTGTCACCCCAATGGGCTGTGACTGTCTTTTAAGTGCTAACAGTTTTATACAGTATTAAGTAACATACGAAATGAACCAGTACAACAAGGTGTATAATTACTGTTTCAGCAAAGGTCCCTTTGATACCTTTCTAGTTGCATTGTATAGAGGGGATCCATATAATGGAGAGTATGACTTATGATCACTGTAACTGGTTATTGATTGAGTTTTTTAACCAGGTCCAATGTGTTATAGATTACATTTATTGAATAAACCATTTAGAATGCAAGATTCACTTTTACCAGGAGGATTTTAATATATTGTGTATTCAAGTATTCCACTGCCAAGTCTGGTTTAAAAGGATTATCACTCACTTGAGTGGATGCAGGCACACCCAGACACACAAGAAAGTCAGTCCTTTTAAAAAGCTTCCGTCATGCCATCACAGTGCAGCAACCAGCTTATTCAGGATTCCTCTCATGCCTAGCAGCAACATTTACTTTGCTTTACAAAACCAGAATAGACTTTTGGTCTCTCATACACATATGCCACTATGGCCAGACTTTTTTCAGTTTATTCTATTATAGTTTTCATTACTTCATTCATATTTAATTCCAGATTAGCTATGATAAACTAATATAATAACACATTTTCTATAAATGTAACAAATAATTTGTATTTTTTCTCAATGTTTTTATTAACATGTACATTACTTGTGTCCTCCAAAGTTCTTCCAACCTTACAATTGTCTCAAAACATGTACCTGAAACTTAAACCCGCATTTTATTAGTTACATTTGAAATGTCATCACATAATTAACTTAGACTTAAGTCAAAGTGAGTGTTCCATACGCAGACACTTTTGCATGATTAGTCCCTCTACAAGCAGTGATTCAGTGATATCATTTCCTTGACACTAACCCTAAATAATGTTTACCCATGGTTTCTAATCAGGAAAATGAACACATTTAGATGGTAGGCTTAGGCACACCATTAAACTAGACATATATTGCAGGACTCTTGAAGCATACAAACCCACTGTACAATGTGGTGGCAACAAACACAGCTAAATACCAGCTTCTTTTACTTGTACGTTATGCCAGGTCAGTTCTTGTCAGCGATGTGACAGAGCAGCAGACATAGATGTAGATGTTGTGCTTTCTTTATCAAAGGAGATGAAAGGATGACAGAGTGAAGCAGGCAGGCTGATCAAGGGACATGGGGAGGGGTAGCCCTAGAGTCGGTGCTGCTCATGCTACACTTGCATGCATTATCACTCATTCACTGTCTGCCAACCTCCCCTATTCTGTCAGTCTCGGTCTCTTTTCTTTCCGCCCACATTTTCTTTTTCATCCTTGACCTACTTTCTTGGTGGCAGTGGGTGTTTCTATATGGCAAGGAGCTCAGTGTGAGAAACACAAAGCAAAGCTGGGACAGATTCTTCACGCTGCACATATCACTCTGGAGGACTGCACCCTTTCTCAAGTCCTCTATGCTGCTCACTGATTCTACACCTCAAGTTAGTTTTGTGCCTTTATTAATGCCCCTTGTGCCCTTATATCAGCTCAGTCAGCATGTTTCCACTTTGAAACCGCACTACCACACACAAACATGCACACATGCTAGCCCCAGTCCATGTATTTCACAGGCATTACTATACCTATGGGGCCAGTTGCTTGTAACTTCCATTAAGGTAACACCACCTTGTTTTCCTTTTCACTGGAAAGGCATGGTATGTTTTGTGCAAAACTGCCTTCTGTAGATTGTGACCCTAGGATCTGAAATCAGTAAAGGGCAAGTCTTCCATGTATAGAAAGCAAAACCTGAAAGAGAGAACACACAATGTAATAAGTAATTTCATGCTGCTGCCTTGCTTTCCTTAGCATGAGGAAAGCACTGATTCAGTGTCAGATAACCATCCTGATAATGTGTTCATCCTCGCATTAGTTTTCTAATCAGTGTGGTCTCGCTTTACACTCTCTGCTTTCTCATTCTCTCCCTCTCTCATTCCCTACTGAAAGTTATCCTTGTATCCTACTCATTAATATAAAGTGGTTTTATGACTGTAACAGTCTGGTTATTCTGGCTGGTGTACAGTAGTTTGCAGGGAATCTCTCCATAGGATCACACTCAAAATTAATTGAAGACAATTTGGGTAACATACTGTTTGTAATTCTTCCACTGAAACTGAGGATTTGCATTTTCATAATTAGCATTTTTTGTTTTGTGTGTACATAACTTTGAGATTTGGTCAGCCAAAATAAGCTGTTTAGAGGAATGCATTGGGGGTCTGAAAACTGACATTTTATCAGTTCATGTTTAATCAGTTAATTAAAAAATGACAGATGAAGACAGGAAACATTGTATTGTTATTAAATTAGAGGTGCCAGATCCAGATTGCTGTTGTGTAGCATCTTTAGCTTTATCTCTTTTGCTTTTAATAAAATGTCATATATTAATCTAGCTGAGCTAAATTGCTCATCTGAGTAAATGGGAGGTATCATAAATGTTTGCTTGCTGTCCAGCCATTATTACCTCTATATTGCCACAAATTGTAAATGAAATTTCTGTATGATTTGTAATAAATTTCAATAACCACATATATTAATGAATTAAATCACATTTTCCTAAGAGCATGCAGCATGGTTTTGCAGATGCATTACACTCTATCTCCATCAGTCGTCCTTCCCACTGCCATCTGTCAGCCTGGGCAGGAATTTCTGTGCTTGTGGATTTAGGCTGGTATCATCTGTCATTGTCTAACAACAACGATTTGGTTTTTGAATCCTCTCAGCCAGCCACCTCTGGATTCTTCAGCACTTCCTCTTCTCACCTCACTCTGTCTTCTTCAGTTACCATGGTTATGGGGATCCCCACAGTGAAGCGGAAGGTGAAGTCTTACCTCTCGGAGACACTGCGTTCGCTAATAGACAAGTTATCACCTGAGGAGAAACTTGACTGTGTTATAATTGTCTTTGTTGGGGAGGTGAGATCTTATATTCACAAAGTATGGGTCATAGCATAATTGTTCTACAAAACAAATTAAAAACTTGGGATGAAAAGTCTTTGTCTCATGTTTGTTTTCTTGGTTTAATCTCTGCAGACTGACCTGGAGTATGTGCACAGCGTGGTTGCTGGCCTAGAGAAAGAGTGAGTACACGCCTCTGTTTCCTGACAGATGTTGTAAATGGAGTGATTCAGATAAAATTGTGTGTTTGTCACATGGTTGACATAATCGATCACCTTCCTTCTCCAGGTTTTCTACAGAGCTGAGTTCAGGTTTGTTGGAGGTGATCTCTCCACCATCCACCTATTATCCTGACCTCACCAACCTCAAAGAGACTTTTGGAGATTCGAGAGAGAGAGTCAAGTAAGCACTTCACTTTAGGCATGTCATTTGCGTTGCCTCTGATTTTAGTAGTCTGACAATTAATTGGGCACAGTGTGATGGAAATCATTATGGAAGTCGTGGAGAAAAAAGACTGCAGAAAAGTGAAGGATGAGTTGGGGGACAGTGGGAGGCAGTGAGCAAGCAAGAGGTTTTAGGTAGGCTGCTTTAGGTCCTTAGTATTTCATACATTTCTCAAAGTCAGATC